GCTTTTTAGTTTGATTTAATCCCATTTGTTTATTTTTCTTTTGGTTGCCTGTGCTTTTGGGGTCATATTATTCTCTATTTTGTTCCATTGATCTGTGTGTCTGTTTTTATGCCAGTACCATGCTGTTTTAGTTATTATAGCTTTGTAGTATAGTTTAACGTCAAGTAATGTTAGTTTTATTTTTTTTGCTCAGAATTGCTTTGGCTATATGTGGTCTTTTGTTATTCCATATAAATGTCCAGATAGTTCTTCCCATTTCTGAGAAAAATGTCATTGGAATTTTGATGGGGATTGCATTGAATTTGTAGATCATTTTGGGTAGTATGGACATTTTCACAATGTTGATTCTTCCAATCCAAAAGCATGGGATATCTTTCCATCTTCTTGTATCCTCTTTAATTTCTCTCAGAAGTGGTTTGTAGTTCTCATTATAGAGATTTTTCACATCCTTGGTTAACTCAATTCCTAAGTATTTTATTTTTTTGGTGGCTAATGTAAATGGGCAAGCTTTCTTGATTTCTCTTTCTGCATGTTCACATTGGAGAATAGAAATGCTACTGATTTTTGTGTGTTGATTTTGTAAAATAATAATCCATTTATATGCAAGCAACTGAAAATTATTTAGGTTAAACAGACAAATATGATGCAATAAATGTGTACATATGTGTACATAAGATTTTTGAGAGATAACTATAATATTAGGTGCATAAGATAATTATAATCACATAAACACATGAATCTATGTTGATGAAAATGCCTCCTGCTCCATCCCCCTCCAATCCTCTCCCACAATGTTACTGAAAATTCCCTTGGATATACATATCTGACTGTGGCAGTTCCTGGTTTTTATTTTTTATTATATTAATATTATTTTCATGGCAGTTCCCTATTTATACCTTTTATTTGCTGCTCAACATCTAAAGGACAGCAACGTGCTGAATACGCATGGATCACCACATGAAGTTCCTGCCTATTTCTCTGATGTCATTTGCCATGTACCCACTCCCGTTTATCCTATATTCTGTGGCCAAATAGAACTACTTAAAATTTCTCAAATTTGAGATGTTTCATGATATTCTCCTTTTGCCTGGAATGTGTTTCTTCTTTTTGTTCGGTTATATTCCTAATCTTCCTTCAAACTTCCACTCAAATGCCACCTCTGTTATTAGGTCTTCCCTGATTACCTTGGACAGAGATGAGCACTCTTCTTTTGCATCTCTACCATACACTTTAAAGACACGTATTATAGTAAATTTGACACAGTACAAAAATCTTTGTATATGTCTCTATCTACCATACTATGTACAATTATTTCTTGGAGGGCTGGTTCCATGTTTCATCTTTGTTAGGCAAACATGATAACGGCTACATTACAGAAACTTGCTCATGTTTCATCCTTGTATCCTGAGAACCCAGAACTGTTCTTGGCACTTAGTAAACACTCAAATGTTTGCTGATTAAATAGGAAACAAGCAAACATACCTCTACTGGTCTCACCCAAGCCAAAGAACAAGGGATAGCTTGAGCTGAAAGCTTTGTGTAGCAGCACCTGCAATAGATAATAATCAAATACATGAATACTTAATCATATTTTTTAACTGCATTTTACGGAATCTCTAATCCATTTCTTGATTTTAGTTATTCGCACTACTTCTGAGTATTTTGTTCATGAAGTTTAACGTTTTTCATTTGAAAGCAATCTAAGAAATAAACTTATAACAGTTTTTGAGAATGATGCAGTTAAAATACAGGTAGGTTGAACAGTTCAACCTTCCTACTACATAAATGTACCCCCTTTGAATGACCCAAAAGTCATTTTCTAAATAACAGACTGAAATTTAGTCTCATGATCCATTCAAATTCAGTCATGTAAAAGAAGACACAGAGATTATAATCCATCTGTGAAACTAAACGACTGATTGTCAAATCTGCACTAAGAAAGAGGGATGGAAAGGATAGACAGAGGAAGGCAAAAGAAAAGGAACAGAGATGGCAACACCACAGAGCTTCAACATTGTTATTCAAATTGTAATTTGTCCACTCCTCTTATTAAATTAAACTCACTTGAGGAACCTCAGGGAAGACTTCTGAACAGTTCCAATATTTCCAAAGTCTGGGTAAAAAACTTCAACTTCCTGTTTCCCAAAGACTCGATGAATAATGACCCGATACCACCACTTATCCTCAGAAATCCTTACGCAACAGAGATGTCCCGGTTGGATAAAATAGTCCGGCATGACATATCGATCAGAAACCAGCTGATTAGAATAACACCGCCTGTGGAATTCCATAATACAGAGAAACTCATACAGGAAGAAAAAATTAAAGATCATTTTTACTGATGTATCAAGAGCAGATTAGTTTTGGCAAAAAGCAAAGAAAAAATCCTGACTTTTTCTGCTTAATGCTTATTAATGTCAATTTATTTTGTTTTTTTTTTTATCCAAATCCCTTCTCCTCATCAATAAACTGCTTCAAAAAGAAACTTATACACTTATTTTCTTATCTCACAGTCTCTGTTGAGTAGATTGTAATCCAACTTCATTCCTCAGCACTTCCCAAAATGGACATTTTTAAGACACAATGACCTATTAAACCCCAAATCCAATAGCCTCTCTCCACAGCCTTCAATTTACTTGACCTCTGTGCAGCATAATCCTTTTAAACTCTTTCCTATTTATTTTCCAAGACAAAATTCTCTCCCACTTCCTTGTCAATAATTATTCCTTTATTATACCTTTGTAACAGGCTCTGTAATGCCTTAAAAGTTTGGATTCTTAGCGTCTTATTTTTAGTAACATAAGAGCTCAGGAACCAGTAACCTGGATTCAAATCCTGACTCCACCATTTACTAGCTGTGTGACTTTATCTTTCTGTGCTTCAGTTTCCTTACTGGGGATAGGGATGATAATAATAAAACCTCAGCTAAAATATTTGGAAGCTTAGAACAGTGTAAAAATATAGTGAGCATCCAAATATTAACTATTTTTATTCTTGCTGTACTCTATCTCATCCATTTTCATGTCTTATACCACTACTGATAAGTTGATGATTCTCAGTCACTCTCCCTAGAAGACCCTGCATCTCTTCTGAACTTGGAAACTATATTTCCAATGTATGGAAGGCCTACTAGTTGTCCCAATATCCATTCTCCTCTTTCCTTTTTCCTAATAATAGAATCCCCAAATTTTAACTGGGTATATGGCCATTAAGATTTCCCAGGCTCCTTTGCTATGTGAATGCTAAGTACCCAGTTAAGATGATAAATTTAATGTGCATTTTACCACAATTAAAGAAAACATATGGGCTGGCCCGGTGGCGCACTGCGCTAGTGCGCCGCTTGGGAAGCGCGGCGGCGCTCCCACCGAGGGTTCGGATCCCACATACAGACCGGTTCCCGCTCACTGGCTGAGCGAGGCGCGGGGGCAACACCGAGGGTTGCGATCCCGTTGCCGGTCCCGGTCCGGTACGGGGGCGACACTGAGGGTTGCGATCCGTTGCCGGACACGGAAAAAAAAAGACAAAAATAAAAAATAAAAAATAAAAAAAAAAATAAAGAAAACATATGGGCCGGCCCGGTGGCGCACTGCTATAGTGTGCCGCTTGGGAGCGTGGTGGCGCTCCCGC